GGGTGGGGGCGGAGGGCGCAGTCGCACTGTCTCCCTCACGCTTATGCGCCCTGCCAGTGCAAACGGCCTCTGCTCCGCTGTTTCATTCCAGCTCCAATAACTCTCATGCCATCCACTCAGCACCCACCAGTGCCGTGCCGCTTCCTCACACTTCACAGAACCAACACACACCCACGCACACACAGACAGACCAAGCGCCGTGTGGGTAAACCCCCGACGCCCACAAGGATTACTTGCTCTCCAATCGTCCAATTGTGCCAAATTGGTTGCGGTGGCGCTCGAGGCGAAGGAGGAGGAGGAGGTGGAGAAATTAGAGCACCCCGCCCTGCTGCCGCGCCCCGCCGCTCCCCACCATGCGTCACTACCAAACTGGGCCCGTCACGCGAGCCGCCAGTAGTGTTCACGCACGGCGTCACGGGGACCCCGGAGAGATCGGCTAGGGCGGGAGGGCAGGGTCATGCATGAACGTCGTGACAGCCCATCCATAGGCCTCCCCAGAGAGCGAGCGAGTGAGTGAGTGAGCCAGTGAGTGAGTGAGTGAGTGAGTGAGTGAGTGAGTGAGTGGGTGGGTGGGTGAGTGAGTGAGTGAGTGAGTGAGTGAGTGAGTGAGTGAGTGAGTGAGTGAACTGTAGTGAGGGGATAAAAGGTGGATGGATATAACTTGGATATAACCCACTCCCTGCCCCGCAACCCCATCATATGTAGTGGTGCGGAGCGTCGTCCAGATGCGCGCCCCCGCGCCCCCTCCTCCTGGCGGTCACTTTCAGGCGGAACCCTTTCGCCCCGCCGTCCCGCTGGGACCCGGGGACCGTCCATTAATTATGTTCCCCCCAGCGAGGGACCGCCCCGGAGTTCATCTATAAATTAGAGATGACGTGCGGATGCTGTTCCCGGAGGTCCCAAACAAGGTCGCGGAATGGCGAGGAAAGCACCATACCCAAACGACGCCCAAAAGAAACGAAGTGTGATCATTTTCTCCCGTTTCAACTTCTTTTCATGTTTTTGCTAGGGGGTAAGACTTCCAGTTGTTACGCCACAAATGGCACTGCCAATCTGTTACGACACTCCATCAAAAGGGCACTAGCTATGCTTCAGTCTTTCACACCAGCTTGACGACGAGAGAAAGAGGACCGGAGTCGGGGGTGAGTGTGGGTGGGGGTGAGTGTGGGGGTAAGTGTGGGGGTGAGTGCGGGGGTGGAGCGGGGGACAGACGGGCTCGCTCCCGCATAACGCACCGCCTCGTGGCGCCTCTCCGACCCCCCGGGGCCTACCGTAGCTCGAGTGGGTGCCGCTAGGTGGCGCCAGCCTGCGGTCCAGCCGTCTCCGCCACCATCTCTCTCTCTCTCTCTCTCTCTCTCTCTCCGTTCCTCCCTCCGTCCCGTCCCTCCTTCTCTCCTCTCTCGCTTGTCCATCTCACTCCCCCTCACTGTCCCTCTCTTGCTCTTTCTCGCTTTGTCGCTCTCTCCCTCTCCTCTCTCCCCCCTTCTCTCCCTCTCGCTCCTCCCTGTCTTTCTCTCTCCTCCTCCTCTCCCTCTCCCTCTCCTCTCTCTCTCTCTCTCCCTACCCCTCTTCTCCCCTTCGGCCGGCTGTTGAACCTAACCTCCATCAATTACGCGGGCCGTCCCCGCGTAATCGCGTCTTAATCCGTTTCATCTCCAAAATGCTGATTGGTTTGTAACGGCCCCGCCGAGCCCTGCCCATGGGCGCCCGAGATCCCGAGCCGAGAGCAAATGAAATGATTGTCACTCCAAGGCCGGAACAAACTGGGAAATTGTCAAAACCGTGCGTGCGCGCGGGAGTTCGAGACAGTGTGGCTATGCGGGAAACGCTTTGAAATAGGACCCGGGGAAGTTGAAGGGGCGCTGTCTGCGCCAAAGTCCAATGTCGAACAGCGACGGCAAACTAAAGTGATGATCCAGTTGTCGCCATGGCAATCATGGTAATGGACGGCTGGGTTCAATTGGAGAAAGAGGCTCAGGGATAATTCGACCTTAAGCTCAAATATTTCATGAGGTGTCCCTGCGTAGCGGCGGGACAGGCACGAGGCACAGGAGATGGCCGCCCACCTCGCTAATGAACTTCTCGTTAGAAACGGCATCCTCCTCCGCCCGACCGTCGGTGCCCCCCCCCCCCCCCCCCCCCGGGCCCCCCCCCCCCCCCCCTCACTCTCTCTGACGGAACCGCCATATAGACAGAGATAAACATTTGGGGAATGTAGCAAAATGATGCAGTAACACTGGAAAAACAAGAGAGCGAACCCCTACCTTTAGAAGGCACTAACAAAGTTTAGTGCCTTTTCAAAGGTACTAAAGTTTCGTGCCTTTGGAAAGGCACGAAACATTAGTGCCCCAGGAAAGACTAAACTGCGCCCTTGACTTTAGTGCCCCTGGAAAGGTGTTGTTTAGTGCCTTTGTTTTTCCAGTGAACCCGCAAGTAACCTGGAGTAACCTGCAATAACCTGCAGTACGGAGGCTATCCAATGCTCAAAATACCAAAATACTACCAGTATGATCCCGCACTTTCGCTCAACTCTTAAAACACACGTTTCTAGCCCTGCTGACGCGCTTTGCGAACGCTTAGGAGCTTTTATGTATTGAGGGGCTCGTAGGATATAAAGCATTCATTTACTTTAGCAATTGCAAAGAAATTTTCGTTAAGACGCTCCGAATGCTTTGTAGATTGCAGTCTATTAGGTCTGATGACAAGGCAATCCAAGGACTTTCCACAGTGCGGACGTAGATCGGAAAGCAAAATAAGGAGAAAACAACTATTATGCCTATGCGGTTTACACGAGAGAGCATTTCGTGCAAGCGTGGATAGTGCAAACTAGTAAACGAGTCACCTGCATAAGTTGCGGGGTTTGGCGGGGCTGCCAGGAGGGCTGCGCGACCGAGCCGGCACGGAGCCCCAGCGAGGCCCTCTAATGCAAGTTTTAATTGGAGGGGACGTCCCGTGTCCCGCGCATCCCCAAGGGCACAGCGTGACAGGGCGTGGCGGGGCCTAACGGGGCGGAGGAGAGCGAAGCGGGGCGGTGCGGGGCCGGGTCTGGGCCGCACGCGTGGGCTCTGCCCGCCACCAGCACGACCCCAGCAGCTGCTACTTCATACTCTCCATCGGAAAGGGCTTGTTAAAAATGTATCTTACACTTCCACGACGCAACATATTTTCGCCCGTCCTCTTGGGACGCGTTCTGGGCGCTCGGGCTCGAGCCGTGCTGGCGTGCAGTACATCGGGGGGCGCCCGGCTCGGCCTAGCAGCGCCCGCGGCTCAGCGCGATGTACCCCCCC